ATCAATATTTAATCTAATTTAATCATACCTAATCAGTTTTCAAATAATTATACCATAAAATCACATTAATTATGACGATCATAAAACACCAATCGGTTTCTAATTCGGCCGCCGATAAGGCCTTCAATTAGCGGTTTAAACACAAAGACATGAACAGATAATTAATCGATCAAACAGATAGAATATGCAACACAATAGATATACTTGGCTAATTCAGTTTCAATTTCAGTCAGTCAGTTCAGTATTTCATTCAGTTCGATTCTCAGTCATAATCAGTTCAGTTTAACAGTAATCGGTGGTTATCGGTAGGCAGTGGTAAGGGTTATTACATTTACCACCAGTTGTGAGTCGCTATATACCATTAGTTCGGTGGCCTTCATGTAGTATGCTGATTTGAGTCCTGCGAGAAGCGCTTCATACTCCGCTTCGTTGTTTGATGCTGGGAAGCCAAGGTTGATTGCTTGCTCTACAACCAGGCCGTCTGGTGAGATGAGGACTATGCCAAGTCCTGCACCATGCCAGTTGGATGCTCCATCCACAAAGAACTTCCACATCTCTCCAACGAACAACTTCCAACAAGTGGAGGGGTCAGATGATGTCGTGGGGTCAAGAATGGTGTTTTCTTCAAGGTCCATGCTTGCTGTCTGCCCCTCGCCATCTGATTGGATTGTTGGTGAGTCTTGGTCTGTTTCTTCCTTGCTGTTTTTAGTTTGGTCTGCCTTGGAGTTTGACCGTGTGTTTTTTGCTAGGGGTTGCGCTATTCCGGCGTCAACTTCCATCCCTAGTTCGGTTGTGTTAGTTAGGTCGACTGGGCAGATATGATGACTACTAGGAATAAACTCTGCGACGAAGTCTGCCAAAGATTGGGCCTTTACTGCGATTCTGGGTTGGAACTTGATGTCGTATTGTCCTAACTCTACTGCCCACTTCAAGATTCGCCCAGAAAAGTTCGCCCTCTCAAACAAAGCTTTTAGTGGAAAAGCTGTGAGGACGACTATGGTGTGGGCATGAAAGTAGTGTGCCAGTTTCCTGGAGGCCATCATTAAAGCCAATGCTAATTTTTCCAAGGGCAAGTACCTTGTTTCGGCTCCCAACAATGTCTTGCTGACATAAAAGATGGGCAGGTGTTGGATTCCTTCTGCACGAACCAACACTGCGCTAACTGCGTGCTGAGAGACTGCAAGGTACAAGAAGAGTTCTTCACCAGGTACTGGGGTAACAAGCACTGGTGGGGAAGACATATATTCTTTCAAACTTTCCAGAGCTTGGTCGCATTCTTCATCCCACTCAAACTTGGCCTTTAAAGCTTGAAAGAATGGTCGTAGTCTGTCTGATGACCGGCTTATGAACCGATTGAGCGCAGCCGCCATGCCGGTGAGATGCTGCACTTCTTTGACTGAGTTTGGTCTCTCCAAATCTTGGATTGCTTTGATCTGAGAGGGATCTTCTTCTATACCTCGGTTGGTCACAAGGAAGCCCAGGAATTTGCCAGATCCTACTCCGAATGCACACTTGGACGCATTAAGGCGCAACTTGTGCTTCTTTAGGATTTCAAACATCTTGCCTAGGCTCTTATTTATTCTCTTACTTTTGTCATTGTTTATCTTATATATAATAGTTAGTAATTGATTTTTTGTATAATATAAAGTCATTAATTATTAAAATAAAATGTAAAAAACTCAGTTTATAGTGATTTAAAAATATGAAATATATTGGATCATGCTTAAAAATTTATAAAAATTTATCAATATTTATTTTTAATTCAATAAATATGATAATGGAAAAAAAATATGCGTATCGATAAGTTTTTTTCAAATTGTGCGAAAAATAAAAAAATTCACGGTTCCGGTTACCGCAACCATTACACTACGGCCTTTACACCCCGCAACCGCAACCCCGTCACCGCCACCGTTACGGCGACCGCAACCGCTTTTCAGAACCTTGGGCTGGAGCCTCTTGCACTAGGGCTGACTTTTAGGTAAAGGGAAGAGGAAGGGAAGTGGAGGAGATCTATCATCTTCTTTTGTAGAAGAAGAACAATTGACATGTCAATAGTGTGATTTGATGTATTTTTTAGGTAGTGTTTGGGATGAACGTCGGCACTGGGAACTGCAAGCTCATTCTAGTGGGAGAGATTCAAAATGTTCAAGGACTGGCCAAATTCTTGAGATTGAGAGTGGGATCCCTCTCAACAAATACAAATTTGGGTCTTCCTTCAACTTACAAGGTTTATAGCTATTTGGGATGAGGTTATATAACATCTTGAGAGTGGCTTGTAGGGTGGAAGCGACAATATTTATCTAAGGGAGATAAAATTACTCTTATCAAGAATTTTTTGTGTGAGGCTTAGAGGAGTTCAAATTCCATCTTGCAGATTGGAGTGTGTACTCCTATTGAAGATGGTGGTTTGGGCCTTCGCCATTTTTATCAGTTCAATCAAACACTATTGGGGAAGCTTCAACTTAGAAGGTTTATAGCTATTTGGGATGAGGTTATGTAACACCTTGAGATTGGCTTGTAGGGTGGAAGCGACAATATTTATCTAAGGGAGATAAAATTACTCTTATGAACAATTTTTTGTGTGAGGCTTAGAGGAGTTCAAATCCCATCTTGCAGATTGGAGTGTGTACTCCTATTGAAGATGGTGGTTTGGGCCTTCGCCATTTTTGTCAGTTCAATCAAACACTATTGGGGAAGTGCCTATGGAGATATATGTGGAGTCGTCTTTGTTGCTTATCATAAAATAAATAAATAAAATATAGTAATAATATTAAGTTAAGGAGGAGCACCAATTATGGGAAAAGCCAGAAGGGTGATTGATTGCAAGTTTGGAGTGGACCAAGGAGGATGGACATCTAAGGTACATTGGGAGCCATATGAGGTGGGTGTGGAGGCCTTGTTGAGTTTTTTGAGCTTTCTGAGCTCCTTTATGAGATCTGATGTTCCATCAAACATAGGGGATAGATAGGAAGAGGCGGAAGCATGGAAATTGGATTTTCTTGTTCAAATCCTATGATTCCTTGATTATTGGTGGGACGAGGAACTGTTTCCCATTGAAGATCTTTTGGAAGTCGAGAATTATAACGAAAGTAAAATTTTATTATTATTTTTTAGAAATCCAGTTTGGACACCATTCTTACTATTGATAATTTGGTGAAAAGAGGTTTCATACATAACCTAATAGGTGTTATCATAAAGTGGTGGAGACAGTGGACATAGGTGGAGCCAGAATTTTTTGCAAATATAATAGACATGTTTATCCTTAATTATCTCAATCTATCCATGAATTCACAACCACTTGGTGGGTCTTGAGTTATTGGCATTGTATATTGGATGGTTGAGATTTTTCTTTCAAACAAATGTGGAATGGTTACAAATCGTAAATCCAAATTCTATAAGCTAGTTCATCTGCTCTGGATTAGGAATGCAGTAAAGTTTGGCCCTGAAACCAGCCTTTGCCTTGAATTAGTATTTCAAGCATATAAGTGTACTCTACCATTAGAACTATAAATAAACTAGGTTTTGTTGTATAACTTTGTTTCTAGTGGTTTCTTTCTGGCTTAATGTCTGATGGAATGATAGTAACCATTTTGACAGGAATTTGGTGTAGAATTACGAATCTTTCTGTCTCTGATAGCAAGAATCAGTGGAAAAGGATAGGAAACTTGAAATTGTTTATCAGTTGTTGGTTAGTTGGATCTTCTCTAGTCTTGTTTTGTTTCTTCATCTTTTTGTGTTGTGTTTGGTGTAAAGCGTTTTTAGTCTTCCTTTGCCACATTTGTTTGATAGAAGCCAGAGAGGGTTAGCAAACATATAGAGCATTGTTTCCATGATGCAAATTATTATTTTGCCTGTATCCCCTGTGTATTCACTATCCCATCGCTGTGAAGTATGCTCTAAAACTTTCCCTTCCAAAAGCTGTGTCATTGTTGTATTTGACCAATGTCGCCCTCTTTAAACTTGTCATGCCAAAAAACAATTAGGGTTATAACTTACTCGCAGGTTCTTCCTAATTTGATTGAAAGAGTTTATATGAGAATTTTGAATTCAACCATTGCTGCTAGTTGAAAAAATATAGATCTGCTATTTTCATTATGGAAACCAAGTAATCGATGTTTTGATAGGTGTTTGAGCATCATTCATGCACGAGAGTAAAGTGTTTTGATATCATAATTTTATTTTTTTTTACGACAACATATCATTGATTCTTTGGTTCACTTTTCTTTACATGTTTTTTGCGGTCATAGCTGTTAGCTATATATTTTGTAAAAGCCAGTTACAATCTAACACGTGGCAGAACAAGGGTATTATTGGAAAATAATTTAAGTCTCCAATCCTGATCGTACACGTGGTGATGATAATTGGTTCTCACATGGTCTGAGCAACATTGGATCAGTAAAAAAACGCAAGGTGACGTGGCTTCAATTTTAAACATAATCTGTAGACGGATTGTGGATTTGCGCGGGTAGATTCAGATCTGACCCAAACCCAATTTTGAATGTAAAAATAGACCCGGACTTGCCCTATTTATGCATGCGGATAGGTTAGATTTGTGCGGGTTGCGCAATTGGATAAACTGTTACTGGTTAGGAGTTAAAAAATCATAAATTTTTGCTCTGTTTGATAGAGTTTTTGAAGTTTAATTTTATCCCTTAATTTGAGTGTGTTGTTTGGTTACAATTTTAGAAAATTAATTCCACGCTCGCTTTTCAAAACACTTTTCAATATCATATGTCACATCACTCAATTCAAATTCTTTTCAAAACTCATAACTAAACAAATTTTTTACACTTAAATCATAATTTCAAAACTCACAAAGTTAAAATACAACTCTATTATCAAATCATAATTTTAAAACTCTATCCCACGGAACCTTTATTATTCTTTGGTTTTTAATTTTTTAATAATTTTTAACTTTTTAATTATTATTGTAATCCCCCAGACGTGCACTAAGTAAAAAATCAAACAAAATCGACCGCTATGATTTGAATCGGAGCAGGTTGCAATTGTTTTAGTTTTCGGGTCAGCCCTATATCTTTCTCGTTATCTCTCTTCATTCACACAACTAACATGGGGATTCTATCTTGGTGGGGAGGAAAGAAGGAGGCTCCATCCTCCTCCGGAAGCAAACCCACCCAGAAACCCGTCCCGAAGGACAAGCCTTTGCCCCAGCAATCCGAGGTCCCGGGTATGAACGGCGCTGTGGAGGTCATCCGTTCCGGAGCTCCGCCGCCCGACGTCACGGTCTTCGAGTTCGGGTCGGTAGCCACTTCCACCGACAAGGTCACCCTGGCCGGGTACTGTCCCGTATCCGACGAGCTCGAACCCTGCCGCTGGGAGATCTTACCGGCCAGTGGCGACGATGCTCCTCAGTTTCGCGTGGTCTTCTGAGAGGGGGCAAAAATTGCTACCGAAGATTGTAAGAAATTTCGGAGACCTTGCTATGAGTTTGACTGAGTGAAATCCAAGATGTTTTTTTTTTTTGGTATAATTCACTGAACTTGAATGAAAAAAAAAAATTTTAAATTGTACTTCTTAGTTTTAATTTGGCTGTTTTTGTGGAGGTTTGTGTTTTTCTTGCATATTTAAGAATTGGGTTTTGATTTGATTAGTTCAGTTTTAGTTTTTGCATATGCTATTCTGTTTAATTTTGATATATGCATCTATACCCTTCCAGTGTTTGTATTTGTACTGTTGAGTGTACTTAGGAATATATTCAGTAACTTCATCTCTAATTTGGTAAGGGGTTAATATTCATCTCTAAGGCTGTGTTTTGAATCATGAATTTTGGGTAGCGATTTAGAAAGGGAAACGAATATACGAGGTAAATGGATAAAAAGTTTAGCTTACCTATGATCCTCCCCAGACACCACAGTGGCTGGAGTCTCTTGCACTAGGGCTGACTTTTAGGTAAAGGGAAGAGGAAGGTAAAGGGAAGAGGAAGTGAAGTGGAGGAGATCTATCATCTTCTTTTGTAGAAGAAGAACAATTGACATGTCTATAGTGTGATTTGATGTATTTTTTAGGTAGTGTTTGGGATGAACATCTGCATTGGGAACTGCAAGCTCATTCTAGTGGGAGAGATTCAAAATGTTCGAGGACTGGCCGAATTCTTGAGATTGAGAGTGGGATCCCTCTCAACAAATACAAATTTGGGTCTTCCTTCAACTTAGAAGGTTTATAGCTATTTGGGATGAGGTTATGTAACACCTTGAGATTGGCTTGTAGGGTGGAAGCGACAATATTTATCTAAGGGAGATAAAATTACTCTTATCAAGAATACATTGGCTAGTCTACCTATTTATTTGATGTTTCTATTCCCTCTACCTGCATCAGTGGAAAGAGTTTTGACAAGTTGAGAATTTTTTTTTTTGAGGTTTAGAGGAGTTCAAATTCCATCTTGTAGATTGGAATGTGTGTATTCCTATTGAAGATGGTGGTTTGGGCCTTCGCCATTTTTGTCAGTTCAATCAAACACTACTGGGGAAGTGCCTATGGAGATATATGTAGAGGAGTCTTTGTTGCTTATCATAAAATAAATAAATAAAATATAATAATAATATTAAGTTAAGGAGGAGCACCAATTATGGGAAAAGCCAGAAGGGTGATTGATTGCAAGTTTGGAGTGGACCAAGGAGGATGGACATCTAAGGTACATTGAGAGCCATATGAGGTGGGTGTGGAGGCCTTGTTGAGTTTTTTGAGCTTTCTGAGCTCCTTTATGAGATCTGATGTTCCATCAAACATAGTGGATAGATAGGAAGAGGCGGAAGCATGGAAATTGGATTTTCTTGTTCAAATCCTATGATTCCTTGATTATTGGTGGGACGAGGAACTGTTTCCCATTGAAGATCTTTTGGAAGTCGAGAATTATAACAAAAGTAACATTTTATTATTATTTTTTAGAAATCCAGTTTGGACTCCATTCTTACTATTGATAATTTGGTGAAAAGAGGTTTCATACATAACCTAATAGGTGTTATTATAAAGTGGAGGAGACAGTGGACATAGGTGGAGCCAGAATTTTTGCAAATATAATAGACATGTTTATCCTTAATTATCTCAATCTATCCATGAATTCACAACCACTTGGTGGGTCTTGAGTTATTGGCATTGTATATTGGATGGTTGAGATTTTTCTTTCAAACAAATGTGGAATGGTTACAAATCCTAAATCCAAATTCTATAAGCTAGTTCACCTGCTCTGGATTAGGAATGCAGTAAAGTTTGGCCCTGAAACCAGCCTTTGCCTTGAATTAGTATTTCAAGCATATAAGTGTACTCTACCATTAGACCTATAAATAAACTAGGTTTTGTTGTATAACTTTGTTTTTAGCGGTTTCTTTCTGGCTTAATGTCTGATGGAATGATAGTAACCATTTTGACAGGAATTTGGTGTAGAATTACGAATCTTTCTGTCTCTGATAGCAAGAATCAGTGGAAAAGGATAGGAAACTTGAAATTGTTTATCAGTTGTTGGTTAGTTGGATCTTCTCTAGTCTTGTTTTGTTTCTTCATCTTTTTGTGTTGTGTTTGGTGTAAACCGTTTTTAGTCTTCCTTTGCCACATTTGTTTGATAGAAGCCAGAGAGGGTTAGCAAACATATAGAGCATTGTTTCCATGATACAAATTATTATTTTGCCTGTATCCCCTGTGTATTCACTATCCCATCGCTGTGAAGTATGCTCTAAAACTTTCCCTTCCAAAAGCTGTGTCATTGTTGTATTTGACCAATGTCGCCCTCTTTAAACTTGTCATGCCAAAAAACAATTAGGGTTATAACTTACTCGCAGGTTCTTCCTAATCTGATTGAAAGAGTTTATGTGAGAATTTTGAATTTAACCATTGCTGCTAGTTGAAAACATATAGATCTGCTATTTTCATATATGGAAACCAAGTAATCGATGTTTTGATAGGTGTTTGAGCATCATTCATGCACGAGAGTAAAGTGTTTTGATATCATAATTTTTTTTTTTTTTACGACAACATATCATTGATTGTTTGGTTCACTTTTCTTTACATGTTTTTTGCGGTCATAGCATTACTGACAACAGGAGCAAGAATGGCAGTTAGTTCGTTTGCCAGGATTGAACTTCAAAAAAGGCATGGCGGAGGGAAGAAGAAAAAAAAAAAAAAAAAACTCTACACATTATAATTCAACTGGTGGTGGTTATTGTTGGTTTTGTAAGAAAAAATGAAAAAAGAAAAAGAAGAAGAATAAATAAGAAGAAAAGAAAAGAAAGTGACTATTGCTGGGCATCTACTGCAGTTGCCAATGAGCTGCAACGATTGAAAATGTTGGTATTACTACAGTCCATCTCCAATCATTCAAGCATTGTAATTTTCAAAAGAGGTTTCCAGTTTTTATTTTTTTTTTTTTTTTCATTTGTAATTTTCAAAAGAGGTTTCCAGTTTTTATTTTTTTTTTTTTTTTCATTTGTAATTTTCAAAAGAGGTTTCCAGTTTTTATTTTTTTTTTTTTTTTCATTTGTAATTTTCAAAAGAGGTTTCCAGTTTTTATTTTTTTTTTTTTTTTCATTTGTAATTTTCAAAAGAGGTTTCCAGTTATTTATTTATTTATTTATTTATTTTCATATCTGAATGAAGTTTCAAGTTCAAAGACCTACTTTGAACATTCAAAATCAACTTAAAACTCAATTTTTTTTAAAAATAATAAAATACAAAGACAATTGCAGTCTAGTCTACCATGAGTCTAATTTCATGTGAACCTTTTATTTGTAGTCCTCTATGCATAAATTATTCATGAAAAAAATAATAATTTGTAATTATATAATTTCATTATAATTGTCTTTGAAAAAATTAACAATTTATTTTCACAATCACACTATTCAACTTTTGAAAATAAATGTAATAAAATTATATGATTTTAATTTTTCAATCAATTAAATATAAATGATTTGAATTATGAGAATATGAACCCAGACTAATAGTAATTCAATCCAAATATTGTACTGAATATTCATTATGCAGCTGTGAACCATCAACTTCATATTATGGCATTCTTTTATTTTTGCAACATGCTTAATCATATTTGTGAATCAAATTCTGGGTTACTATTATTGTTTTTAATTTGAAATTCACAATTATTTAAACGACCCGTAATGTCATACCATGAGTTAACCCAATTGATCAGAGGGAAAAAAGAAAAAGAAAAAAAAATTATGTTGATTTTAGTTTGATATTTATATATGCCGAGTTACCTTCGGCTAAGGTTTGAAAATTTACTAGTCAAATCGTGCCACGTGAATATTGTTGCTAAGAAAGTTGATGCCTTTAACAACGTTAAAAATATATTAAGGAGTGTTTTGGGAAGCTGATAAAAAATTAATTTTTTAATTTTTTTTTTTTGTGGATAAAAAATATAAGAGGTAATGTGACTCAAAATTGATAAAAAATTAGAGATAAAAAGTACAAAAAATTGTTTGGTTTGATTTTTTTCAAAAGATGTTTTGGAAAATTATTTTGAGAGAGATTTATTTGGAAAACTTGTAAACCAAAAAAGTTTTGGAAAATTTTTTTGGAAAATTTTGTTTGATTTAATTACTTTGGAAAACTTATTTGTAGGGAATTTTTCCCAAAAATTTTTAAGGAATTTTTCTCAAAAATTTTTAGGAAACACAAACCAAATAAGGCCAATAAAATCTCTCTCCTCACCATTTCTTCATCTCAAAGTCTTACTCTATTCCATTGATAACAACCACAGCCCCTCTGTTCAAAGAAAAAACCAGTGTCCCTAGTGTACTCATTACAGGAGAAACTAGAGAGAGAGAGAGAGAGAGAGAGAGTTATAAGGAAATGGAGGTAAACCAAAAAAGTTTTGGAAAATTTTTTTGGAAAATTTTGTTTGATTTAATTACTTTGGAAAACTTATTTGTAGGGAATATTTCCCAAAAATTTTTAAGGAATTTTTGGGAAATATTATTTTTGGGTAGAAGAAAGCGCATAACATGGGAGAGCAGAATCAAGAGTGATGAACTCAACGGAGGACTCAAAATCTTCCATGGTGAAGAAGAGAACTCGGAAGAAAGTCGTCCTGAAACCCAGACTGGATTCCAGAGGATTTTTCAAACCCATAATAAATTGCAGAGTTTAGGCAAGTTTTCACTCATGGATGGATTTGATTTCTTTTTTCATTTTTTTGAATGCTACTTCACTATACCTCTCCATTTTCAAGCATTCATTTTGTGATGTTTGTTAAATTTTAACAGCTGATTTGGTTATGTGGAGAGATGTCTCAAAATCAGCATTCATGTTCGGTATTGGAACATTTATCATAATTGCATCATCTTACACCAAAGATATCAATATCAGGTTAGAAATAGTACTCCAAGCTCATATGACACAACACAACTACTCTAACCATGCTCATTATCCAATTTTTCTTGTTCATTTTACTCATCTCCTGTTTCAAAACAAAGCACAGAGCTAAAAACACTCTTTGATGATTTTACAGCTTCATAACTGCGGTTTCTTATCTGGGTCTTGTCTATCTTGCTGCAATCTTCTTATTCAAATCCATTATTTGCAGGTAATTTATTAAATGAAGAACTTTAGATAAATGAAAAAGAGCAAAATAATTGCAAATTGAGTAGGTGCAAGGGAGAACTGTGTCATTTTCGCACAGTTCTCACTTATTGATTTTCGATTATTTGTTTGTTTCCTATTCATCTGAAACTCCCTTTATTCTTTTTTATTTTTATGGGAAAGTTCATTTACCACATAGGAGTTAATTAAAGACTTGTTTGATGGTTTCTTTTTTCTTTTTTTTTTGCTATAATTTTGGAAAAAAAATAACAGGGGAGTTATAGGAGGAGATGATACAAACCAAGACTACATTGTTGGGGAAGAAGAGGCAGTATGGTTAGTAAAAATGATTCTTCCTTATTTGAATGAGTTTCTTCTAAAGTTCAGAACCCTTTTTTGTGGAGATCCTGCCACTACAATGAAGGTGAGTTTCATTTCACTCATTTTCTATAGTTTATCAAGTAACAATGCTACATACTCAGAAAAAATATCAGAATAATGTTTAAAATTTGAATCTATAGTATAGATTTAAACTTGATCCTATATATTACTTTCGAAGTGAATTTGATCTACTCAATAGGAAGTTTAGACAACTTTTTTTTCCTTTTCTATAGTATAGATCTCCAGTATTCTTTCTTCTTGTTGTTTTATTGTTTTTAAATGTGATCTTGTCAGTTGGCAATCATGCTGTTTGTTTTGGCGAAGTTTGGCAGCACCATAACTATTTGGAAGATGGCCAAATTGGGTGAGTTATGATTTCATTTTAATTTTCAAAATGGAGATTGTTATTTACACCTCTCACTGGCTATTCACACTCCATATTGTGTTTTGGTTAAGAACAAAATTTAAAGGATAGAAAACAAAAGTAGAGTATGAATAGTAATTTCCTTAAAAATTTGGGTGCTAAATTTGTTGACTAATCTTTTTTATTCATCATTTTAGTGGAGTTAAAAGTCTATTTTGCCTTGGCCCAGTGGCAATATAGGTGTTACATTGGAGACTCATCAATTATAAATAAAATTGTAAAGTGTGTTTGTATTACGAATTTGGGATGAGATTTGGAAAAAAAAAAAAGATGTAAAAGAAATTTTAATGAAGTGTAAGTTAAATTTTTGCTTAATATTTTTTTTTTTTTTCAAATTCCTGATCTAGAGACGGTGTAAACTAATTAAGTTGAATAATAGTGTTTAAATTGTTGTTCAAAAAAAAAAGATTGTTCAAGCTTAATTTAAAATTTTAATGAATGAATTTCAAAATGTGCAAATTTAACTTGTTTATCTTTCGATATAATCTCAAACAATATTTAGTCGAATTGAATTTGAATGTATAAATGTGCAAATTTAATTATTTCTTTTACAATATATATAAATTTATTGACTCGATATAAAAAAAGTAACATTTTCAAAATATGTTTATCTTTGCAAAATAAATTAGGTTAAAAAAAGCTTAAATCATTTTACAATTCTCACTATCAAAGAAATAATCGTTGTGTTTGGTTTTAATTTTTTAGATTTAATTTTTTGAAATTTTAATTTTTAATTTTTTTTTATTTTAGTGAATATTTTTAAAATTTTAAACAATTTTTTTTACTTTTTTTAAATGCACTTTATTTAGATGTATCTAAAAAATAAAATATTTATAAATAAATATTTTAAAAAATCAATAAATATACAACAATATGAAAAATGTATTGAATTTTTTAATTTTTTTAATATTTTTGGTATTTAGTGAGTTTTTTAAATATTTTTTTTTACGAATATTATATTTGTTAAGTGTATTTATGTTACGTGTATTTAAAAATTAAAAAAAATTACTTTGAATATTTAAAAAAAATAGTGAAAAAAAAGAAAAGAAAAATAAAAAAAAAATTCAGTGCGTTTGGTTTCAATTTTCTGGATTAAGTTTTTTAAAAATTGAGTTTTTTGGTTTTCGTATTCTTTTGTTTTTAGTGAATATTTTTTAAATTTAAAATACTTTTTTTTACTTTTTTAGATGCGCCTGAGTTTTTTGGTTTTCGTATTCTTTTGTTTTTAGTGAATATTTTTAAAATTTTAATCATTTTTTTTAATTTTTTAGATGCGCCTTAGTTAGATGTATCTAAAAGGTAAAAAAATTGTGAAAAAATATTTTAAAAAATTAATAAATACATAAAAATATAAAAATGGTACTGAATTTTTGATTTTTTTTTATATTTTTGGTATTTAGTGAATTTTTAAAAGATTTTTTTTACAATTTTTTTACTTTTTAGGTGTATTATGCTACGTGTGTCTAAAAAGTAAAAAAATTGCTTAAAATATTTAAAAAAATTAATAAAAACAAAAAGACACGAAAAATAAGAAAGTATAACTTTTTAAAAAGTGCTTTTTGAAAAATAAAAACAAGCTTAATTTTAAAAAAAATAAATCTTAAAAATTCAAATCAAACAAGTTGCATAATTTTACTAATTGGCATGATCTATTGTGGGATCCATGACAATTGTGAAAAATTTGTTAAAATATTAGTTAATAAAATTTAAATAATTATACAATAACTCCAATTTGAAACACGAGGAATGTGACACAAGTTTAATCTTAATGTAGCATATTTACATAATTTTACGTGATAAATATTTCTTGGGTATCCTATAAATGCTTATTTTTGCTTGATAATTTTCTCCAATTTTTTCTCGAAAACCAAATAGATCTAACCAAAATGTTAAAATTTTCTGAGCTTTATTTAATTATTTATATTATGGACTGTCGTTTTGCGCTGACTCTATGTGTGGTGTGAACAGGGTTTTTTGGAGTATTCAGCTTACCAAAGATATGCTCATCCTATTCCAGTGACCCTAGTGTACTCATTACAAGAGAAACTAGACAGAGAGAGAGAGAGAGTTATAAGGAAATGGAGCTGGGTAGAAGAAAGCGCACAACAAGAAATGGTGTGGTGACAGGTTCTGTTTGGGAGAGCAGAATGAAGAGTGATGAAGTCAAAGGAGGAATCAAAGTCTTCAATGGTGAAGAAGAGAACTCAAAATTGGTTTCAAATAAATCTTTGGATGGTCCAAGCAAAAATTTAGATGGGTTGGGTGATGGAACTGGGAGGAATTCATTTGAATTGAAGGTGGCGAAACCGGAGTTGAACGAGGCTTTTGTTGAGTCTGTTGTGGCAATTGAGAAGAGCCCAGTTGGAATTGCGGAGACTAGATCTGATGAAACTAGAGAGAGAGAGAGAGAGAGTTATAAGGAAATGGAGGTAGGTAGAAGAAAGCGCATAACATGGGAGAGCAGAATAAAGAGTGATGAACTCAACGGAGGACTCAAAATCTTGTATGGTGAAGAAGAGAACTCAGAAGAGAGTGGTGACAAAAGTTTGAGACCAAAACCAAGTCCTATTGGGGACAGTGGCAAGAGGAAGACATGGAAATCTGAGAATTTTGATGGTCTTGGGAGAAGCCCAATTCAGATTGCAAGGCAAAGATCTGAAATAAACAAGAATTTGGATGTACAATGTAAGGAGTCGAGTGTATCTACTAATGGAATCAAGAAAAACCCAGTTCAGTCAAAGAAATCAAGATCTGAGCAACTAAGTGTGTCTGTTAATGGAATTGAGAGAAGCCCAATTCACAAAATGAAGACAAGATCTAAGGAATCTAAGGAGTTAAATGTGTTTGTTGAAAGAACTGAGAGAAAGCTAAATCAGGTTAGGAAGGCAAACTCTGAATCCCAGAAGTTAGTTGGTGAATCTGATGATGGAAACGAGAGGAATTTAGTTCAATTGAGGAAAGTGAAGCCAGAGTCCAACAAGGCTTTGGATGAATCCGTAGATACAAAAGCAAAATTGGTTTCAAATAAATCTTCGGATGGTCCAAGCAAAAATTTAGATGGGTTGGGTGATGGAACTGGGAGGAATTCATTTGGATTGAAGGTGGCGAAACCGGAGTCGAACGAGGCTTTTGTTGAGTTTGTTGTGGCAATTGAGAAGAGCCCAGTTGGAATTGCGGAGACTAGATCTGATGAAACTAGAGAGAGAGAGAGAGAGGGTTATAAGGAAATGGAGGTGGGTAGAAGAAAGCGCATGACATGGGAGAGCAGAATAAAGAGTGATGAACTCAACGGAGGACTCAAAATCTTCCATGGTGAAGAAGAGAACTCAGAAGAGAGTGGTGACAAAAGTTTGAGACCAAAATCAAGTCCTATTGGGGTCAGTGGCAAGAGGAAGACATGGAAATCTGAGAATTCTGATGGGCTTGAGAGAAGCCCAATTCAGATTGCAAGGCAAAGATCTGAAATAAACAAGAATTTGGATGAACAGTGTAAGGAGTCGAGTGTATCTACTGATGGAATCAAGAAAAACCCAGTTCAGTCAAAGAAATCAAGATCTGAGCAACTAAGCGTGTTTGTTAATGGAATTGAGAGAAGCCCAATTCACAAAATGAAGACAAGATCTAAGGAATCTAAGGAGTTAAATGTGTTTGTTGAAAGAACTGAGAGAAAGCTAAATCAGGTTAGGAAGGCAAACTCTGAATCCCAGAAGTTAGTTGGTGAATCTGATGATGGAAACGAGAGGAATTTAGTTCAATTGAGGAAAGTGAAGCCAGAGTCCAACAAGGCTTTGGATGAATCCGTAGATACAAAAGCAAAATTGGTTTCAAATAAATCTTCGGATGGTCCAAGCAAAAATTTAGATGGGTTGGGTGATGGAACTGGGAGGAATTCATTTGAATTGAAGGTGGCGAAACCGGAGTCGAACGAGGCTTTTGTTGAGTCTGTTGTGGCAATTGAGAAGAGCCCAGTTGGAATTGCGGAGACTAGATCTGATGAAACTAGAGAGAGAGAGAGAGAGAGTTATAAGGAAATGGAGGTGGGTAGAAGAAAGCGCATAACATGGGAGAGCAGAATAAAGAGTGATGAACTCAACGGAGGACTCAAAATCTTCTATGGTGAAGAAGAGAACTCAGAAGAGAGTGGTGACAAAAGTTTGAGACCAAAACCAAGTCCTATTGGGGTCAGTGGCAAGAGGAAGACATGGAAATCTGAGAATTCTGATGGGCTTGAGAGAAGCCCAATTCAGATTGCAAGGCAAAGATCTGAAATAAACAAGAATTTGGATGTACAGTGTAAGGAGTCGAGTGTATCTACTGATGGAATCAAGAAAAACCCAGTTCAGTCAAAGAAATCAAGATCTGAGCAACTAAGTGTGTCTGTTAATGGAATTGAGAGAAGCCCAAATCACAAAATGAAGACAAGATCTAAGGAATCTAAGGAGTTAAATGTGTTTGTTGAAAGAACTGAGAGAAAGCTAAATCAGGTTAGGAAGGCAAACTCTGAATCCCAGAAGTTAGTTGGTGAATCTGATGATGGAAACGAGAGGAATTTAGTTCAATTGAGGAAAGTGAAGCCAGAGTCCAACAAGGCTTTGGATGAATCCGTAGATACAAAAGCAAAATTGGTTTCAAATAAATCTTCGGATGGTCCAAGCAAAAATTTAGATGGGTTGGGTGATGGAACTGGGAGGAATTCATTTGAATTGAAGGTGGCGAAACCGGAGTCGAACGAGGCTTTTGTTGAGTTTGTTGTGGCAATTGAGAAGAGCCCAGTTGGAATTGCGGAGACTAGATCTGATGAAACTAGAGAGAGAGAGAGAGAGAGTTATAAGGAAATGGAGGTGGGTAGAAGAAAGCGCATAACATGGGAGAGCAGAATAAAGAGTGATGAACTCAACGGAGGACTCAAAATCTTCCATGGTGAAGAAGAGAACTCAGAAGAGAGTGGTGACAAAAGTTTGAGACCAAAACCAAGTCCTATTGGGGTCAGTGGCAAGAGGAAGACATGGAAATCTGAGAATTCTGATGGGCTTGAGAGAAGCCCAATTCAGATTGCAAGGCAAAGATCTGAAATAAACAAGAATTTGGATGTACAGTGTAAGGAGTCGAGTGTATCTACTGATGGAATCAAGAAAAACCCAGTTCAGTCAAAGAAATCAAGATCTGAGCAACTAAGTGTGTCTGTTAATGGAATTGAGAGAAGCCCAAATCACAAAATGAAGACAAGATCTAAGGAATCTAAGGAGTTAAATGTGTTTGTTGAAAGAACTGAGAGAAAGCTAAATCAGGTTAGGAAGGCAAACTCTGAATCCCAGAAGTTAGTTGGTGAATCTGATGATGGAAACGAGAGGAATTTAGTTCAATTGAGGAAAGTGAAGCCAGAGTCCAACAAGGCTTTGGATGAATCCGTAGATACAAAAGCAAAATTGGTTTCAAATAAATCTTCGGATGGTCCAAGCAAAAATTTAGATGGGTTGGGTGATGGAACTGGGAGGAATTCATTTGAATTGAAGGTGGCGAAACCGGAGTCGAACGAGGCTTTTGTTGAGTTTGTTGTGGCAATTGAGAAGAGCCCAGTTGGAATTGCGGAGACTAGATCTGATGAAACTAGAGAGAGAGAGAGAGAGAGTTATAAGGAAATGGAGGTGGGTAGAAGAAAGCGCATAACATGGGAGAGCAGAATAAAGAGTGATGAACTCAACGGAGGACTCAAAATCTTCCATGGTGAAGAAGAGAACTCAGAAGAGAGTGGTGACAAAAGTTTGAGACCAAAACCAAGTCCTATTGGGGTCAGTGGCAAGAGGAAGACATGGAAATCTGAGAATTCTGATGGGCTTGAGAGAAGCCCAATTCAGATTGCAAGGCAAAGATCTGAAATAAACAAGAATTTGGATGTACAGTGTAAGGAGTCGAGTGTATCTACTGATGGAATCAAGAAAAACCCAGTTCAGTCAAAGAAATCAAGATCTGAGCAACTAAGTGTGTCTGTTAATGGAATTGAGAGAAGCCCAAATCACAAAATGAAGACAAGATCTAAGGAATCTAAGGAGTTAAATGTGTTTGTTGAAAGAACTGAGAGAAAGCTAAATCAGGTTAGGAAGGCAAACTCTGAATCCCAGAAGTTAGTTGGTGAATCTGATGATGGAAACGAGAGGAATTTAGTTCAATTGAGGAAAGTGAAGCCAGAGTCCAACAAGGCTTTGGATGAATCCGTAGATACAAAAGCAAAATTGGTTTCAAATAAATCTTCGGATGGTCCAAGCAAAAATTTAGATGGGTTGGGTGATGGAACTGGGAGGAATTCATTTGAATTGAAGGTGGCGAAACCGGAGTCGAACGAGGCTTTTGTTGAGTTTGTTGTGGCAATTGAGAAGAGCCCAGTTGGAATTGCGGAGACTAGATCTGATGAAACTAGAGAGAGAGAGAGAGAGAGTTATAAGGAAATGGAGGTGGGTAGAAGAAAGCGCATAACATGGGAGAGCAGAATAAAGAGTGATGAACTCAACGGAGGACTCAAAATCTTCCATGGTGAAGAAGAGAACTCAGAAGAGAGTGGTGACAAAAGTTTGAGACCAAAACCAAGTCCTATTGGGGTCAGTGGCAAGAGGAAGACATGGAAATCTGAGAATTCTGATGGGCTTGAGAGAAGCCCAATTCAGATTGCAAGGCAAAGATCTGAAATAAACAAGAATTTGGATGTACAGTGTAAGGAGTCGAGTGTATCTACTGATGGAATCAAGAAAAACCCAGTTCAGTCAAAGAAATCAAGATCTGAGCAACTAAGCGTGTTTGTTAATGGAATTGAGAGAAGCCCAATTCACAAAATGAAGACAAGATCTAAGGAATCTAAGGAGTTAAATGTGTTTGTTGAAAGAACTGAGAGAAAGCTAAATCAGGTTAGGAAGGCAAACTCTGAATCCCAGAAGTTAGTTGGTGAATCTGATGATGGAAACGAGAGGAATTTAGTTCAATTGAGGAAAGTGAAGCCAGAGTCCAACAAGGCTTTGGATGAATCCGTAGATACAAAAGCAAAATTGGTTTCAAATAAATCTTCGGATGGTCCAAGCAAAAATTTAGATGGGTTGGGTGATGGAACTGGGAGGAATTCATTTGAATTGAAGGTGGCGAAACCGGAGTCGAACGAGGCTTTTGTTGAGTTTGTTGTGGCAATTGAGAAGAGCCCAGTTGGAATTGCGGAGACTAGATCTGATGAAACTAGAGAGAGAGAGAGAGAGAGTTATAAGGAAATGGAGGTGGGTAGAAGAAAGCGCATAACATGGGAGAGCAGAATAAAGAGTGATGAACTCAACGGAGGACTCAAAATCTTCCATGGTGAAGAAGAGAACTCAGAAGAGAGTGGTGACAAAAGTTTGAGACCAAAACCAAGTCCTATTGGGGTCAGTGGCAAGAGGAAGACATGGAAATCTGAGAATTCTGATGGGCTTGAGAGAAGCCCAATTCAGATTGCAAGGCAAAGATCTGAAATAAACAAGAATTTGGATGTACAGTGTAAGGAGTCGAGTGTATCTACTGATGGAATCAAGAAAAACCCAGTTCAGTCAAAGAAATCAAGATCTGAGCAACTAAGCGTGTTTGTTAATGGAATTGAGAGAAGCCCAATTCACAAAATGAAGACAAGATCTAAGGAATCTAAGGAGTTAAATGTGTTTGTTGAAAGAACTGAGAGAAAGCTAAATCAGGTTAGGAAGGCAAACTCTGAATCCCAGAAGTTAGTTGGTGAATCTGATGATGGAAACGAGAGGAATTTAGTTCAATTGAGGAAAGTGAAGCCAGAGTCCAACAAGGCTTTGGATGAATCCGTAGATACAAAAGCAAAATTGGTTTCAAATAAATCTTCGGATGGTCCAAGCAAAAATTTAGATGGGTTGGGTGATGGAACTGGGAGGAATTCATTTGAATTGAAGGTGGCGAAACCGGAGTCGAACGAGGCTTTTGTTGAGTTTGTTGTGGCAATTGAGAAGAGCCCAGTTGGAATTGCGGAGACTAGATCTGATGAAACTAGAGAGAGAGAGAGAGAGAGTTATAAGGAAATGGAGGTGGGTAGAAGAAAGCGCATAACATGGGAGAGCAGAATAAAGAGTGATGAACTCAACGGAGGACTCAAAATCTTCCATGGTGAAGAAGAGAACTCAGAAGAGAGTGGTGACAAAAGTTTGAGACCAAAACCAAGTCCTATTGGGGTCAGTGGCAAGAGGAAGACATGGAAATCTGAGAATTCTGATGGGCTTGAGAGAAGCCCAATTCAGATTGCAAGGCAAAGATCTGAAATAAACAAGAATTTGGATGTACAGTGTAAGGAGTCGAGTGTATCTACTGATGGAATCAAGAAAAACCCAGTTCAGTCAAAGAAATCAAGATCTGAGCAACTAAGCGTGTTTGTTAATGGAATTGAGAGAAGCCCAATTCACAAAATGAAGACAAGATCTAAGGAATCTAAGGAGTTAAATGTGTTTGTTGAAAGAACTGAGAGAAACCCAAATCAGGCTAGGAAGGCAAAGTCTGAATCCCAGAAGTTAGTTGGTGAATCTGATGATGGAAACGAGAGGAATTTAGTTCAATTGAGGAAAGTGAAGCCAGAGTCCAACAAGGCTTTGGATGAATCCGTAGATACAAAAGCAAAATTGGTTTCAAATAAATCTTCGGATGGTCCAAGCAAAAATTTAGATGGGTTGGGTGATGGAACTGGGAGGAATTCATTTGAATTGAAGGTGGCGAAACCGGAGTCGAACGAGGCTTTTGTTGAGTTTGTTGTGGCAATTGAGAAGAGCCCAGTTGGAATTGCGGAGACTAGATCTGATGAAACTAGAGAGAGAGAGAGAGAGGGTTATAAGGAAATGGAGGTGGGTAGAAGAAAGCGCATAACATGGGAGAGCAGAATAAAGAGTGATGAACTCAACGGAGGACTCAAAATCTTCCATGGTGAAGAAGAGAACTCAGAAGAGAGTGGTGACAAAAGTTTGAGACCAAAACCAAGTCCTATTGGGGTCAGTGGCAAGAGGAAGACATGGAAATCTGAGAATTCTGATGGGCTTGAGAGAAGCCCAATTCAGATTGCAAGGCAAAGATCTGAAATAAACAAGAATTTGGATGTACAGTGTAAGGAGTCGAGTGTATCTACTGATGGAATCAAGAAAAACCCAGTTCAGTCAAAGAAATCAAGATCTGAGCAACTAAGTGTGTTTGTTAATGGAATTGAGAGAAGCCCATTTCACAAAATGAAGACAAGATCTAAGGAATCTAAGGAGTTAAATGTGTTTGTTGAAAGAACTGAGAGAAACCCAAATCAGGCTAGGAAGGCAAAGTCTGAATCCCAGAAGTTAGTTGGTGAATCTGATGATGGAAACGAGAGGAATTTAGTTCAATTGAGTAAAGTGAAGTCAGGGTCCACTAAGGCTTTGGATGAATCCGTAGATACAAAAGCAAAATTGGTTTCAAATAAATCTTCGGATGGTCCAAGCAAAAATTTAGATGGGTTGGGTGATGGAACTGGGAGGAATTCATTTGAATTGAAGGTGGCGAAACCGGAGTCGAACGAGGCTTTTGTTGAGTTTGTTGTGGCAATTGAGAAGAGCCCAGTTGGAATTGCGGAGACTAGATCTGATGAAACTAGAGAGAGAGAGAGAGAGGGTTATAAGGAAATGGAGGTGGGTAGAAGAAAGCGCATAACATGGGAGAGCAGAATAAAGAGTGATGAACTCAACGGAGGACTCAAAATCTTCCATGGTGAAGAAGAGAACTCAGAAGAGAGTGGTGACAAAAGTTTGAGACCAAAACCAAGTCCTATTGGGGTCAGTGGCAAGAGGAAGACATGGAAATCTGAGAATTCTGATGGGCTTGAGAGAAGCCCAATTCAGATTGCAAGGCAAAGATCTGAAATAAACAAGAATTTGGATGTACAGTGTAAGGAGTCGAGTGTATCTACTGATGGAATCAAGAAAAACCCAGTTCAGTCAAAGAAATCAAGATCTGAGCAACTAAGTGTGTTTGTTAATGGAATTGAGAGAAGCCCATTTCACAAAATGAAGACAAGATCTAAGGAATCTAAGGAGTTAAATGTGTTTGTTGAAAGAACTGAGAGAAACCCAAATCAGGCTAGGAAGGCAAAGTCTGAATCCCAGAAGTTAGTTGGTGAATCTGATGATGGAAACGAGAGGAATTTAGTTCAATTGAGTAAAGTGAAGTCAGGGTCCACTAAGGCTTTGGATGAATCCGTAGATACAAAAGCAAAATTGGTTTCAAATAAATCTTCGGATGGTCCAAGCAAAAATTTAGATGGGTTGGGTGATGGAACTGGGAGGAATTCATTTGAATTGAAGGTGGCGAAACCAGAGTCGAACGAGGCTTTTGTTGAGTTTGTTGTGGCAATTGAGAAGAGCCCAGTTGGAATTGCGGAGACTAGATCTGATGAAACTAGAGAGAGAGAGAGAGAGGGTTATAAGGAAATGGAGGTGGGTAGAAGAAAGCGCATAACATGGGAGAGCAGAATAAAGAGTGATGAACTCAACGGAGGACTCAAAATCTTCCATGGTGAAGAAGAGAACTCAGAAGAGAGTGGTGACAAAAGTTTGAGACCAAAACCAAGTCCTATTGGGGTCAGTGGCAAGAGGAAGACATGGAAATCTGAGAATTCTGATGGGCTTGAGAGAAGCCCAATTCAGATTGCAAGGCAAAGATCTGAAATAAACAAGAATTTGGATGTACAGTGTAAGGAGTCGAGTGTATCTACTGATGGAATCAAGAAAAACCCAGTTCAGTCAAAGAAATCAAGATCTGAGCAACTAAGTGTGTTTGTTAATGGAATTGAGAGAAGCCCATTTCACAAAATGAAGACAAGATCTAAGGAATCTAAGGAGTTAAATGTGTTTGTTGAAAGAACTGAGAGAAACCCAAATCAGGCTAGGAAGGCAAAGTCTGAATCCCAGAAGTTAGTTGGTGAATCTGATGATGGAAACGAGAGGAATTTAGTTCAATTGAGTAAAGTGAAGTCAGGGTCCACTAAGGCTTTGGATGAATCCGTAGATACAAAAGCAAAATTGGTTTCAAATAAATCTTCGGATGGTCCAAGCAAAAATTTAGATGGGTTGGGTGATGGAACTGGGAGGAATTCATTTGAATTGAAGGTGGCAAAATTGATATTAAAATTTGAATCTATGGTATAGATTTAAACTTGATCCTATATATTACTTTTGAAATGAATTTGATCTACTCAATAGGAATTTTAGACAACTCTTTTTTCCTTTTCTATAGTATCATAATTTGAATCTATAGTGTAGATCTGCAGTAATTCTTTCTTCTTGTTCTTTTATTGTTTTTAAATGTGACCTTGTCAGTTGGCAATCATGCTGTTTGTTTTGGCGAGGTTTGGTAGCTCCATAACTATTTGGAAGATGGCCAAATTGGTTTAGTTATGATTTCATTTGAATTTTCAAAATGGAGATTGTTATTTACACCCCTCACTGGCTATTCACACTCAATATTGTGTTTTGGTTAAGAACAAAATTTAAAGGATAGAAAGCAAAAGTAGAGTATAAATAGTAATTTTCTTAAAAATTTGGGTGCTAAATTTGTTTACTAATCTTTTTTATTCATTATTATTCATCATTTTAGTGGAGTTAAAAGTCTATTTTGCCTTGGCCCAGTGGCAATATAGGTGTTACATTGGAGTCTCATCAATTATAAATAAAATTGTAAGGTGTGTTTGTATTACAAATTTGGGATGAGATTTGAAGAAAAAAAAAAAATGTAAAAGAAATTTTAACGAAGTGTAAGTTAAATTTTTGCTTAATTTTTTTTTTTTTTCAAATTCCTGATCCGGAGACAGTGTAAACTAATTAAGTTGAATAGTAGTGTTTAAATTGTTGTTCAAAAAAAAGATTGTTCAAGCTTAATTTAAAATTTTAATGAATGAATTTCAAAATGTGCAAATTTAACTTGTTTATCTTTCGATAAAATCTCAAACGATATTTAGTCGAATTGAATTTGAATGTATAAATGTGCAAATTTAATTATTTCTTTTAAGTGTATATAAATTTATTGACTCGATATAAAAAAAGTAACATTTTCAAAATATGTTTATCTTTGCAAAATAAATTAGGTAAAAAAAAGCTTAAATCATTTTACAATTCTCACTATCAAAGAAAAAATAATGATTGTGTTTGGTTTCAATTTTTAGATTAATTTTTAAAAAATTGAATTTTTAATTTTTTTTTTATTTAGTGAATATTTTTAAAATTTTTAATTTTTTTTTATTTTTTATTTTAGATGTACCTTACTTAGATGTATTTAAAAAATAAAATATTTATAAATAAATATTTAAAAAAATCAATAAATATACAAGATATAGAAAAATGTATTGAATTTTTAATTTTTTTAAAAAATATTTTTTGATATTTACTGAATTTTCTAAAATTTTCTTTTATAAATATAATACTTGTTAAGTGTATTTAGAAATTTAAAAAATTAATTTAGAATATTTTAAAAAATTTAAGTAAAAAAAAAAATATGAAATATAAAAAAAATTAATTTTTTTAAAAGGAATTTTTAAAAATTCAAATCAAGCAAGCTGAATAATTTTATTAATTAGCATGATCTATTGTGAGATCCAATGACAAATTGTTAAAAATTTGTAAAATATTAGTTAATAAAATTTAAATAATTATACAATAACTCCAATTTGATACACGAGAGAATGTGCCACAAGTTAATCCTAATGTAGCATTTTACATAATTT